CTTTCCATGCGGCCGGTGTCCCCCCGCGGTCCCCTCCACCTCGAGCCCTCTCTCGCTGCTGACAGCCACACTGGGTGGGGTTTGTCACCTGGCCGCTAAAGCGCTGATGGTTTTATGCCCGGCACTTAATTATTTCCCCGATTGCCACCGCCATGTGCTGGCGAGTGGCGCTGGCTGTGACCCCGCCGAGCCTGACGCTGCTGCTGCAGCCCGGGGAGCCGATGGCAGAAGCACGCCCCACGTGGAGTTTAATTATTGGCTTTCTTCCTTAACAGAGTACATTGGCTGACCTTAATGCAATTAATTAGGGCTTAATCAACTTCTGGTGGCTCAGCACAGCACACAGTGACTCCTGCCTTTCCAGGAGGGTTTATAAGAGGTTAAAGCGTCTGAGGGGAGGGTGTGGTGTGTAGTTTGTATGTTCGGTGGGTAAAGCTCAGTTAGTCAAGCGTTGGGGTAAGACTTGTGTTCTCCTAGACTGGGCATGTTGCTGGAGATGCTGGTAAAGGCAAGTGGGATGTGAGCTGCACTCAAGAGCTGTGCCCGAGGTGAGCTGCACAGAATTGCTGGTGTTCCTTGCTTTTGGTATCACCCTGAGCTCTGGCTTTCCACAGGGATTTTCCTGCAGCTCTGCTGGGCCAGGGTTTTCCCGCTCTTTGGATGCTCTCTGCTAGTGATGGGCTGTGTCTGGGTTGTGCATCCAGCAGCTGCTGGGCTCTGAGGGTGCTAGAGGTGATGTCTGGGAAGCTCCTTCACTCCCTTGAGCAGGCATTAGCCTTGGAGACAAGAAGCTGGTCAATGGCTGTTCCTGGGTGAGAGGGAAGCTCCTTCCCCTCTCTGCCTAGCAGCGTTTAATAACTAATAGTGCTCACTAATACTGCAGAAAGTCCTCAGCACCCCTGACATGGGGCCCTGGCTCCGCACCTCTGTGGCTCCTCTGGGCTTGACTGCTGGGTGTAAGGACTTATTTACACACCTTGTGTCTCCAGCTGCTGGATTTTAGGTATTTAAGCCAGCAGACACCTGTTGGCATAGCTGGTGATGCAGTGCCCCATCCCTGGGCTGCAGAGCATGAAGTGACTCAGCCTTGGCCTTGCAGAAAGCCCTGGAGAGGTGAGCGGCCCTGTGCCAGTGGTGGCATCTCCTGGTGTCAGCTGTGGTGATGGTGACCAGAACTGTGGCATGTCCTGCTGTGTGCCCTCACATCCTGGATGCTTTGCATCCTCCCAATGCCATTGTCCCGAGGCAGTTTCTGTCACCACCTCTCCTACCCCATTTCTTTGGGTCCCCGTGTTGGGATGGGCTGTTCCCCACCCCAGGGGCTGTGCCACCAAGCCCCCTTGTGTGGATAGCCCAGTGCCAGGACTGGGAGGTAGCAGCAGGAGCTGTGCCAGCCACCGTTGCTGGCTTGTTTGCTTCAGTGCCAATTCATTAATATCAAAAAGCTAATTAGGATTCCACAGCCCTTCCCACCTGGCCCTCTCCTTTGGAGGCTGGAGGATACTCGTCTGCAAGATTTCCATGCAGCCCTGTCTTAAAAGGACTCAGCTCTGGTCTGTCCCAGCCCGGTGGTTTGTGTCCCTCTCTCTGCTCCCAGCTAATTCACGTGGCTAAAGCCCCTCGAAGCCTGGCAAATGGGAAGTGATATTTGCCAATAATCCCTCTGCTCTCCCGGGCAGGCTTCTCATATTACAGGTTATTAAAAAAACTAAAACCCAGGCAGCAATAACTGTGGCCCCTGGGAGAGCCCGAGCACAGATTGTTCCTGGTCAAACCCCACCCAACAGGAGAGCCCCAGGCAGAGGCAGCACAGCAAGGCCCAGCTGGACCTCATGGAGCATCTCTAGGCAGAGCCCAGCCCCTCTTGCAAGCAGAAAAGCGACGAGCCACAACACTCTTTTCCCCCTGGGGAACAAGTGGGATTCCCACGAGTCACAGACTAAATCCAATTTCTCCCCACAGAGGCTGTGGAATAAACCCTGCTATTGCTTATCAGGGCTCCCCACCCTGATGCCAGCACCCCTTGGCCTCAGCATCTTCCTCACCACTGGGCTGGGCAGGAGCAGCTCCTGTGTTGGCATCTTGCAGGGACAGGACAGAGCCAGCACCACCTGGTAGGACAAACCCAGCCTCTACAGCCAATTTTTTGCTTTGCGGGGTTTTTGAGAAAACTTGCCCAGAACTGGGGATGCTGTTTCCTCTGGAACAGGGCAATGATGCCGCTCCATCCTTTTCCTTGAGGGTGGATTTGTCCCATGGGAAATTCAATCCACTAAATATGTGTAGTTGTATTTTTCTTCCTGCAAAAATACCGATTTCCCTGCAAGGAGTTTCACTGCAGCTCGAAACATTTCATTGCATGGGTTGGGGGTTTCCTTCTGGTTTTAAGTCAACATTTCCCCTTAAAATGTCACTCAGGGAATGATGCCTTTTTTTACAGCAAAAGTCTGTGATGACATTTTAAGTGGAGAAGAAAATTGCTGCTTCGTTTCAAAATGTCAACTTTGAGTGGGGTGGGTTTAGAGTATTTTTTTTATTCCAGTGTTTCCCAGGAGAAAAGCGAAATGGTTTCATTAGACTCAAGTAACTCTTGCCCCCATGACCCCCAAAATAAATCTTTATTTATTTATTTTTTTAACCTCTTTGCACTTTTGTGGCAGGGAAACTTTTGCCAAGAGAAGTCATGCTCTAGTGGGATGCTGCCTTGGGAAGGGACAACCCTGTCTCAGCCAAACCTGAGCCTTCTGGGGCAAATCCTCCGGCACCAAACTCCAGCGGGGACCTGTGGGAGAGACTCCATTGCTGCCAGCTGGTTTTGGTTGCCACGGGAGGGATTAAGAGCAGGTTGAAACCAGGTTTTGAAGCTCTCCTCTTCCTGCTTTCCCTCTGCCTCGTGCTCCTGGTTTTCCTTCACACAGCTCTCCTCGAAAATCGCTTGTTCTAGATTAGGCTACAGACTGGAGTTATCTTCCTTTTATTTATTAGGGTAATTATACCTAATGATTCACATGCTCGGGGAGAGTAATTGCTCCCAAATACAGCACCGGCAGTGTTCTTACCCAGCCGGGGTGCAATGATTCACAAACGCATCTTTTCGTACCATTTATCAAGTGATGATCCCGTAATTGCTGACTTGATTTGGAGGCAGTTAAGGAGCGATTGAGGACCCGGCAGCACCGGCATTGTGTCCATTTCCCTCTGGTGTGGTGGTCACTTGTGTGTGTCTCCTCCCTGCCACGCTGACAGTTGTCACCACTCGCCTCCTGTGTGGGTTTTGCTGGGGATTTTGGTTGGGTTGAGCCCCTCGAGCTGCAGGGCTTGTGCTCTGTGAAGAGCCGTGGTGCCTGGTCTGGCAAATTCTGCGGCACAGCCTGGCTGAGGGAGAGCCAGGGCTGTCCTCCTCCAGGATGGGGAGGACCCCTCCATCCTCCCAAAATGTGGCATTTATATGGCTTGGCCCTCACCTCTTCAGAGTTCTTGGAGCAGATGGGTGAGAGCTTGTGCTGCCCCAGTGAGGGGACATCTGGTGACCTTTCCCTGAGGACTCCTGCCCATCTACCATGCAGGGTGGGCAGGAACATCCCATGAGGGATGGATGATGTGCAGAGTCCACCCTGCTCAGCTGCTCCCTGCTCCCTCAGCCCTGGGAGAAACCTGGACGCTGGGGATGGAAGGAGGTTTCTGGGAGTGTTTTGAAGAGTGTTGGTCTTCCCAGTGCTGCCCTGAGGCTTGGAAAGGCAGCCTGAGGCTTGAAATTCCTCCTTGAAATTCTTAAGGGGAGCCCAGGGTGATGGCTCTGGAGTGACTTAGCCCCTCTGGTGCTGCCCAAGACAACACTGTGGTGCTTGGCTGGAGGCTGCTGGTCAGCTGTGCTCTCCTGGGCCAGCAAAAACAGGTTTTTTGGTACTGGATGGAGAGCAGAGTGTATTGCTACTTTGCCTTTTTTTTTTTTTTTAAGCTTCCCTTCTCAGTGTGCGTCTGGGCTGTATTGCATGAGCCTGCACCCACCACCCATCTCCGCCTGCCCCAAGTGCTGCTCCAGGTCTCCCATCCCGTGGATGCCAGAATTGCCGCTGGGATGTGAGCAGAAAGGCAGGAGGAGAGGAGGTGGCACAAACAGCCCTTTCTACTGGCCACCACTTGGCTTTATCCCCAGCACTGCTTGGGTGGGCTCCTGAGGGAGCTTGCCCTTGTTGTCCCCCACTCCCAAAATGTGGGGCTGTGCCAGTGCCTCTCAGTAGGTGTTCACTGGAGTAATAGCTCCCTGGTTTCATTCCACCCACATCCACCTCCTTAGTGGAGGAATCTGTGCTCGTTCTCGCTGGTGCCTGGCCCCCTGTCAAGAGCTCCTGCAGGCAGCCAGGAGCTGCTCCTAATGGGCTGCCAGGGGATTTGGACTCTGACAGCTGGGTGCTGACAGCTCCCTGCAACTGCTCGCTTCACCCGCTGGGCTCTCCTCTCCACAGTCAGATGGAGAAGGATGCTCCAACCTCTGTGGGGAGGAGGCTGGCTCCTCTTTCTCCCCTCCCCGGGTGTTTGTGATGGTGCTGGAGGTTTGTGGTACCCATTGCCTTGGTGGGGATGATGGTGGTGCAAGCAGAGGGTCCCCAGGCTGGAGGAGCCCCTGCAGGGTGATGTTCCAGGTTGGGGACTGGGAGAGGAGAGGAGGTCTGGATATACCACAGGGCAGGTCTTGTCACAGCTCCCAGCAGGGAGTTGGGGTGGCAGGCCTTTGCTAGCTGGGAGCAAGTGCTGACACCTCCTGGGGCTGCCTCTCCAGCAGCTCTGGGGCCTCCCATGCTTTCCCCTGGCTGACACATAGCCTCTCTTCTCTGTTTGATGCAGGGCTCCTCTGTGTCCCCACAGACCCTGTGCAGGGGCTGGTGGGTGCTTCTGGGGGCTCCCCAGGGCCCAGCTCCATTCCAGCGGGGGCCGTGGCAGCTGCCGCAGAGGGACTATCCCATCACCCTGCCAGCATGGAGCAACTCACAGCCTGCTGTCTTGTATGGCTTTTTATTCCTATGTGATTATACATCCCACTTCATATAGGGATTGAAGCCGTGCAATACGCCGGGGTCCTACAGCGGAGAGCAGCTCCTGTGCCATGGGAACCAGCCTCGAAGGAGCCTTCAGAGCTGTCCCCTGGGGTGCTGGAGGAAGACTGCTGGCCTCAGCCTGGACTCTGTCCTGCTTCCCAGGCTACCCAACCCTCTTGGGCTGCAGGTGTGGGGTGCCAAGCTGCTTGGGGTGAGGCCAGCACAGGCCCACTCCTCCTTGCACTGCACCCTCTTGCAAAGGTGGGCCTGGTTCTGCACCACGTGTGCTGTGGAGAGACCTGGTAACTGTCCTGATGGGCTCATCTCTGGGGAACCTGCTTCTTTGGTTTTGGCCCCCAGTATCCCGGGAGATGGGTGACAACCTCTGGGTGCAGGCACTCAAGGAGGCACTGCTGGCAGGACAGGGGAGGAGGAAGAGGAAGAAGAAGAAAATGAGCTGAGGAATGGCCACCACAGCAAGGGCTGCCCCAAGCACAACTCTCTTCAAAGTTTCTCAAGAGGCTTCAGCCACTCTTTCAAGGTTTGCGTTAAATCTGTCACATTAGCGAAAATAGTGAAAATTGTGGCTTGTGGAGGAGATGAAAGGCAGCCCCTTCCAATGCCTCCATAAAGGAAGGGCCCCATTAACACCTAGTGAAATATTAGCCATTAATCAGGCTCTGTGCAAAATAAAACCATCCACATTTATCATTATTGGATCCCTAATGAAGTGATAATGGAAATGCTGGGGAGCTGTGATATTAATGTCTTCTAAGAGGCAAGAGCAGAGCCAAGGGCGGCAGCCAAGATTTTTAATTTACTGCCAAAAGCTCGTGCTGTTAATAACGCAGTTACTTCTCCTGGCCCTTAGCACTGTTTGGCTATGAGCTGCCAGCTTAGGAGAGTAAAGCGACCCTGAACGTACCTGGGCTTTGCTCAGTCACTCCCCAGCCAGCATCTGGGCATGTTTTTCCCAGTGACTGTCCTAGTGTCCCCTGCCCATATACAGGGACATGGCCAGGGAGCTGTTGGCCATCTCCACCCAGATCTCTCTTGGAGGCTGGCTGGCATAGAAAGTTTTGCTTTTCTGATAGAAAAGGAAGGGACTGGGAGCATCAAACCCAAGTGGCTCTTATCTCTCTGTGACTTGTTGCCTTAGGCAGAAGCACCCTGGAGCCAGGATGGCATGGAGCTGCTCCCAGCACAGCCTGCACACTGGGATCACGGGTTGTGACCATGCTGCACTCTGGGTTTCTTCACTTGCCCGGGTTCACTCCCATGATGCCAATATCCCATCCAGGACAGCGTGGGCAAGCTGCAAAGCCCTGCTCAGCTGTGGTGACTCACTCAAGCTCCCAATGGGAAAGTCATCGTTCCTGGCAGGCCCTGACAGCCCAGAGGCAAATCATTACTAGGCAGGTAAGCGATGCTCTTGTGTCTCAAGATGCAACTGTTAGCGCACAAATCCTGCTAAACCAGTGTGGCCCAAATGTGTGCTGGCTCATGCGTGGGGCCTTTTGCTGTCCAGAGGCATAAAACAATATTTTTTCTGTGAGGGGTGCCCAAACTCCAATGCTCCTTTTGTCCCTAGGTAGAAGGTCCACCCAAGCAACCCTTTGGAAACGCAGCTTCGAGCTGTCCAGGTAGAAGCATCAGAAAAGTATTTCTGTAGCCTGGGTATCCTTAGTGAACCTCTCCCTATCCTGTTATCTCTTCACTAGGAAAGAAAGGACAGGAACAAAACCCATATATGGTGGCCAGGCAAAGGTAGATGTGAAGTGTACTTCAAACAGCTCCATCCTTTCAACAAATCTTTTATTAGCCTTTTCTCCTCTCCAACACACATTCTTTAATTGCTAGTGAAAAGCCACCATTCAGAAAGCAAGGACACTGCTCAGGGTATCTGGGGTAGGCATTTCCTGGGAGAAGCCAGCCAGCACTAGCCCAAGGTCTTCTGAACTTGGCTGCAGCTCTAAGGGCCAGCATGGTGCTCAGCAGTGTGGCAGACCTGTGGGCAGGGGGTTATTGTGGGCCTGTTGCACACTGGACCTGATGCTGAAGGTGCCAGTGACCCTTCTGCCAGGCACCCCAGCCTGAAACCGGAGTCACTCTGCATTCCACTAGAGCAGAACTGGCCAGGAAGCATTCCTAGCACTGTGGAGCCAGCTTTAGCCAGTTATCCTGGCTGCAGCCCATACTTGTGGCTGTATCTCCGTGCGTTGGTGCCCCTGTGGAGCTGGCCTGCTGGGCATGGAGCAGGTGACCTGCCAGCGACCTCCGGAGAAAAGCACACGGCACAAAGCAGCTTCTCCTGCACAACCACCCCCTGACATTACAGGGGCACAGGGAGCTTTATAACGCTTGGCAGACTTCCCCCAGCAGATCTTGGAGCTGTTTGCCAGTGTGAGCAAGTTCAGGCATGTTACAGAAGACTTTCAGACTCTGAGGACAAGTGAGATGCGTGGATGGGTTTAAACCATCCCAGGCAAGACCAGGGTTTTGAAATCCCCAGGCTTGTGCCTTACACTGTGCCTGGGCTGTAGCCCAGACAGTCCAGCTGCCAGCCTGGCATCAATACTGGGCCCCGTGATGGTCCTCCTGATATCCCTACTTGTTAGTTGTTGGCTTCAAAACCAAAATAGGAGGTGTTGTATCCTCCTCAAAAATCCACTCTCCGATCCAGGCGGGTGCAGAACGACTGCTCAGTGAGATACACCACGACTCAGTGTTGGCACAACAGTGTGTTTATGTCACGAGATGAGATCAGCCACACGGAGTAGGTCGGTCTGTCTGGAAAGAGTCTGAGTCAAGCGTGTCCTATTACATTATAGCTGGATTTTCAAAGGAGCTCAGCTCCCACTTAGGCTCTGTAACAAACAGCCAGATATTCAAAAGAAGTCGGACGTGCTGGGTCATACTGGCTGCTGAGCTGAAGTCCTTTGAATATCCAGCCAAAACCATCAACGTGCCTGTTGCTACAGGCAAAGCCCTTCTGAAATCCAGCCTCACTGTGGGCTGCATATCCTGGGAAACCCAGCTCATCTCCGCTCTCCCGCATTTCGCACTGCAGTAGGTGACAAAACCACGATAAACCACCGTGTCCTTGTACATGTGGGGGAGCAGCTCCCTGTCAGAGCACAGCTCTGGCAGCTTTGCCCTTTGATCAGCTCAGCAGCACGGGTCAGGAGAGCTGAGCGTGAAGGTTTCCTTGCCTTTTGTTCTGTGGAATTAGCAGAGTTAATCAGAGTGACAGCGACTTCTGCCTCAGCGCGGAAGAAAGGTCAGTGGCTCAGGCTGGATGCACGACTGTTTTCTAGGCAGTTGCAAAACAACACCACGAAAGCTCATAGCATACATGCTGCTGGCACGGAGGCTCTCCCATCAGGGATCAGCAGGGAAGATGTTCCTGTGGAGGGAAGGAGGCTGGAGGAGCCACTGCACTTCGTTCATCCCCTTCCTTAAGTGAAGGTATGGAACCCTCTATGTCACTGTGCACTGCCTGTGTCACCCATCCAGTATCTCTGCCAATGTGCTCCTTAGCCACACTCCTGGGTTTGCATCATGCTGGACTTGTGGTCTCTGTGTCACCTCATACACTGCTGTGGGAGGAACTGCAGGGCACTGTGCTGGTGCGTGGAGTGGGTGCTGGGTATTCCCACCATATCCCTCCAGCACGTTCACACTTCAGGTGAGCAGGCCTTGCTGTCACTGCTTTTACATCCTTCAGTCACTGTAATGCACTTCTGTGAATCTGCAAAAGCTCCCTCCTGAGCTGCTCTTGAGCTGGGTTCACTGGAGGTGCAACAGTGCAGTGAGGGTTCTCCCTGGCAGCCCTGCCATGGCCTCAACTTCCCCATATCTTTTAACTGTAGTTGCAGCACATTAAGTCTTCAACTTCACTTAAAGTCACAAGCATGTTAAATCCAGCTTCCTTGTCTGCAATGTGACCTCTTACCTTTCTCTGATCCCCCCAGTTACAAGTGCTTGCTTTTGCTGTGGACATCCACTCATGTGTCTAATTAGTGGATTCTTTCTGTAAAGATACCACCACCCTCTACAGTGAGTCCTAATTTAAGTAGCTCGCATTTGTCTGCAGTATTGATGCTTTCATTTACTCCTGGTTCTAATTAAGTGCATCTGGATATCTGCAGAGGGAGCTCTCATGATCTCTCCAAAGCTCTAATTAAAATGGCCTGGATGTCCATGACATTGGTGCCTGTCAAGCCTGTCACCAGGAGGTGATGCCCACCTTGGAACTGGCTGAAGAAGGTGTAGGAGTCGTTGTTCCTGAGAAAAGCCTCCACGTCCAGGCCCTCCTGAAGCGCCTCAGCCACTAGCCCTGGGCTGCAGAAGGCTCCTGCCGCCTCCGTCGGCCCATCCTGCCCATCCGTTCCCCCGCTGAAGAAGATGATCTCACACCTCCCTCGGGGGCTGCTGCCTTCCATGGCCTGTGCCCTGTGCAGCCCCAGCCCCACGCGCAGGGCCAGCTCCTGGTTCCTCCCTCCCTTGCCGCTTCCTTGAAGCTGGACTGTGGTTTCTCCACCAGCCAGGATGCAGACTGGTCTTTCAGGCCCTAATCCTCGCAGGGCCTGTAGAAACTTGGCAAGGTCCAAACCTGGGATCTCCAGCTCTGCCGCCAGCTGCAGGAGATTGCCCCTCACCTCATCACCGAGGGGCTCTTCTGCGCGGCCGGCGAGGCCCAGGCAGACCAGCCGGATCAGCTGGCAGTACAGCGTGGAGACACGGCCGACCTCCCCACGGATTCCTGCACTCAGAACCAGAGCTGCGTAACCCAGGCTCTCAGCCTGGTGTTTGGCTTCGTCTAAAGCCAGAGTATTTGACCCAATGATGATGTTGGAAACATGGGAGTAGTTTTCTGGAGCGGTGGGCTTGGTGGGAGAGCTGGAGAGGACCGTTTCCACTGACTTGGGCAGGTTGTGCAGCACGTCGTATTTGGCAAGTACCTGAAGGCAGTCTTGGACACTGTGGGAGCTGGCAGCAGTGGGCCCACTTGCTATGATATCCAGGGGATCACCAATCACATCAGACAGGATGAGACTCACCACCTACGGAAAGAAATGCCCATAGATTATTGCAGGAGGCAGAGACAGGTGATTACACAAGAGCCCTGGCTCTGAGTTACACTTGCACTACCCCCACATCAAAGCAGATGGAAACAGGGCAGGGAAATTTTGTTTTATGGTCCTGTGAGTGTCACCTTGCCCTTCTTGAACCCACAGATCTACAGTCCCCTTGGATGCTAGACCATCACTTTGGAAGATGTAACCTGTGGCACTGCACCTGTCAGGCCCAGCATAGTGTGGGTTCAGTGATGGCACATGCTGAGAACAGCCCCCAGGGGAGCCAAGGGTCAGAACTAGCCTTGAAAGTGCTGTGGTGAAGCACCAGCACTTGGAGGTGCCTGCCAGGTGTGGGCTGGGGTGTGCTGAGAGTGGTGTGATGATGGCTGATGATTGCCAAGCCTGAATTCCCCCTGTTCCACCTCTGTCTCCCTGAGAGTTTGGGTCCTCAGTGAAATCTCAGCTATAGAGTCCCAAAACAGCATGCAAAGGTTGTTCATGTAGTAAGGAAAAAGCCCTGCAAGCATGCTTAGGTAAGTTGACTGAGCCTCTGCTTTGGGGGTAGGCGGGTGATCTGTGGGCAAGCAGGGCCTTCCCCGTGGTTACCTGTGCAGGATATGCGAGCTGGGCCAGCCCTCCTCCCTTCAGCACGGACAGAGTCTTCCGGACAATGTTCAGCTCCTGTATGGCAGCTCCTCGGGAAGCCAGCGTCTTTGTGAGTTTCTCCTTCTCTTCGAGGAGGATGGGAGGGATGGGAGCAGGCAGCAGGGCTGATCCACCCCCTAGGATGCAGAAGAGATGGCAAGGACATCAGGATAGCAGGAAAAGGAGGACAGAAGAGAGCAAGGCTTGAACTTTTCCTCTTCCCTGACTAGTGTATGGAGGGAAGGCAATTGGGGACCTAAGCTAACATCTCTGGAGAATTCAGTCTTCACCAATGGGTTTTCATAACTGCTGTCCCGCACTCTTTTCAGTCTGCTATGCTTCACCTGGCAGTGTAAACCATGCCAGACTGGGATACCACATGCCTCCAGTGTTGTGGGGATGACAGAAAAGGGACAGCAACTACTATCACCACTACTCTGGGCTACCAGTGTGTCCTCACACTGATATTCATCTGGAGGGGTGAGCAGAGAGCACAGCTTCCATAGCTCACACAGCAGTCTGTGCTATGCATGTGGAGACACTGCCTGCTTTGGTGGCTCCATTTATTCAGGACACTGAGTAAAAAAAAAAACAAAACAAACAAAAACAAACAAAAAACCCCCCTATCAACTACGGATGCAGCAAGACTGGAAACCCCTGAACTGTGCTCATCTTGGTCTGGGAGGAAAGGAAGGGGAGGACAGTAATGCAAAGGACAAAGCACACCCTGAGTCCAGGGGTCCAGCCTCATCAATGGAAATCCTGTCTGATACAAGCAGGCATTGGAAACGTGGAAAAGAAGGCAAGATTCTAATGGAAAAGTGGATGGAAAATACAGAGGAGAAAAGAGCAAGATCTGAGCAGAGAGAACACGCACAGAAGTACAGCTGAAAGATACTGTCAAAAGGCAAAGCCTGCTCAGAGGTTTGAGACAAATCAGCATCAATAAAACATGATGAGCAAGAAAAACAAATGCAAATGCCTGTGTTTCAGTCAATAGCCAGGGATCTAGCTGAGAGGTAGGAGCAGTTGGGGACCGGCTGCTGTGTGGGAGTGCACATGCAAAGGGAGTCACAGCCACGGGGAGATCCTGCACAGGCTCCCTGAAGGGCTGAGGAGTCTCTTGGAGATCCCCGTAGCCAAAAGACAGGAGGAAGCCCAGGGGAATCCCCAGCAAGCACAGCTAGATTCCAGTCACTTGGGTGTCTGCCTAATGGCATTACTGTCTCTGCACCAGATCAGGCTTCAGCATCCACAGAGGAATAAACACTGAGCAGAGGAGACCGAGGGGTTTCTGCAGAGCCCCTGTGTGCTTTTGTCCTGTGACATCCACAGCCAGCTGAGCTCAGGCTGGGGCAATGGCAGTGCATCCCTCTGATGCCCCATATCCACTCTCCTCACACAGCCCTGGGTCTGGGGACAGCCTGGGGGCCCAGCAGCCAAGGCCTGGAGGTGTGCAGGACTGACCCCTGCAAGGCAGGCAGCTCACTGTGCTGGTACCTGGAGGCTGCATTTCCACTGGCTGGGAAGCAGCCAAGCCCTGGGAAGGGTCAGTCACAAATCTCAGCTTACAGACTCACACCCCTGCAAAAATTTAGAGTGTGCCAGTCCACTAAGTGCTTGCATCTCCAAGTCTGCATCCCCAAATGTAAGGAGGGGGCAGGAAGAAAGCATCTCCTTGCCAAGAGGTGAGAACAGAGCCCAGGCTGTGCCCAGAGGTGCCATCTCACAGTGGTGGTACAACCACAGGACCCAGCCTGTGCAGCTCAGGTACAGTGCTGGGAGGCAGTGTGTCCACCGCAGCAGTGGGAAGCCCCGTGCTCTCCCTTGCTGCATCCCTGGAGAAGGGATGGTGGAAGAGAGAGGAAAAATCACAGAGGTACAAGGGTCCATGCTGAAAGGCCTGGCACAGCACAGTGTTCCATTGCTTCATGGCCATGGATGGCCTCAGGATACCCCGTTCTCTGGGGGCCCCACACTACCTGAGATAAGCACGAGGAGCAGGTCATCTGCAGTCAGACCCTCAGCCAGCTGCTGTATGGCAACAGCTCCCTTCAGAGCCTCTGCATCTGGGAGGTTGTTCTTGGCACCCTCGATGACCTGGATTTTGCTGTGTGGCTTCAGCAGCATCTCCCTGGTGAGATGAGAGAGGCAGTCACACCACTGACCTGTGCACCTACAAAGGCAGCCAGGCTGTCACTCTGCCAATGCCTGGTGCACCAGAGGTGTACAGCAAGTGACCAGGACAGGGAGATGGCTTTTGCTGAGTGTCTCTTCCCAGGGCTGGAGAGGCAGCACATCCAGCACAAGAGGTGGGGTCTGTTACTGGTGCCACTGGGACACGATGGTGGCTGAAGATGAGAGCAGTGGGTTGAGGGCAGCTGGAAAGGACTGAAGGGGTTCACAGCAACATCCCACAGAGAACAAATCTGGTAGCCTAGGCCCCCCCTAAAACTGTCCAGAAACAGTCCTCCTTACTGCATTCCTGCTCGCTGCAGGCTCTCCTGGATGCCGAGTGGCACACTGATGACACCACGGACGAGGTGGTCTCCCAGGATCTCTTCTGCTGCTGCAGCCATCCCCAGCACAGCTTTTCCAAAACCCACCAGGTACAGGTCCCTCTTCACTGGAAAGGCCTGGCCCTTCACCAGCAGCTGAGGGCACCTATCCCCCTGGAGTTTCAGAGCCCTCTTCATCATCGGGGCCGGGCGGACGGTGCCCACTGCGCTGCGGAAGAGGGACAGTGCATGCTCTCGTAGGGACATTCTGCCCAGGGTGGCCAGGCTGAGCCAGTCTGCGCTGTGGGGTGGACTTGTACACACTCTGCCAGCACTGGCAAGGCCTCCAGAGTTGGGACAGCTGAAGCCTCCAACCTGCAAGGGAAAGTGAACATTTTTGCTAGCAGAAGAGACAGGGCTGTCACAGAGAGAGCAGGGAGGTCAAAACATGAACTATGAAGCTCTAGCTCCTGTTTCCTCTAGATTAAGGTGCCATATGAACAGCATTTTCAAACTTCTCACCAGGCAGGAAGCAGAGAAGGACAGTGTCACATTCAAACTACCTGTCAGCTTGTGATTCCTCTGCAATCCCATCACCTCCCGCAGGGAAGGTGAGCTCTGCCAGCCAGCTTCTCCATCACTGTCGCTTTGCCACTGGCAAGCCATCATTTCTATTTGCTCAGCATTTGACACCTTTCCAAACTGTGGAAGCTGCTCTCTGTCCTAGAGAGAGCAGGGTATCTGGGTGGAACAGCTTTTCACTACATTAACTCCCTTCCTCGTGCTGGCCAAATGCTGATCTCATTCTCTGGCTGTGCATTGCCCCATGTGTCCCTGCAGCATCAGATACGGACTCAGGAGAAACAACAGGCTTGCTGGCTGCCTGATCCCTTGCTGCTGGTGGCCACAGAGAGACCAGTAATAAGGTTTCCTCACCAAACAGCAAATTAACACAAAGCTTCATTTGCCTTTATGTTTTCGTCCTCTCATTATCCATTAAAATCACATTTAGAGCCCAAATAATACTTCAGATCCAGGCAAAGTTGCCAGCCGTGTCTGTGAAAGCCCATTTGAGCTGGTCTCCACTGAGCATTAGCATTATATGCAACAGATTTGTGCATGGACCGAAAGATCTCAGCTGCTCAAGGGCAGATACTTGTCTTGACAGAGGAAAGGCAGCCCCTGCCAGCACACAGGCATCTATTCCCTCCCAGTGCTTCTCCTTCCTTCTGTTAACTGGCAGCAAGTTCACTGCCGGTTTCTCAGGATCAAAGATCCCTGTGATCTGCATCCCTCCCGCTCACGGCAATCAAGGCAGGGTGCCAGGAGGCTCAAGCAGCCCGGGCAACACACTCAATCACAGACTCAATCAAATTACCTGAGAGAGTTAATCCTCTCTCTGGTAAGTGGAGTGTTTCAGTGCAAGTGGCTGGATTCTTCTGTGAAAGCTCAGGAGTCCAGAGGTCTCTTTGTCCTGACACTCCCATAGCATTGCAAGGTGTTAATGATTAAGCCACACAAGCTTTTCAACAGCTCCTCTAGTCCTAAATCTGCCTTATTTTGCTGTAGGGACCCAAAGGCTCTACACAAAAAACCCTCTACACAAGCACCTTCTCAGACACACTCTGAAATCTATTGGACAAGGGACTTGCAGGTAAAGCTATATGGAGAATCAAAGGTTTGTCAGGGAAAGAAACCTAAGAATCACTGATTTTGGAAAAGACCCTTAAGATCGAGCCTAACCATAAATTATTTAATACTTAGGAGAACAGATTTTAAAGGCACAAGCCAAGGCAGATTAACTACCTATCTGTACTCTCTTCAGATATTGATCAGGACTGTCTTTTCAACCATGAGAGAGGAGAATAAAAGACAGGGCGTCCTGGCCACTTTGTTACTAGACTCTTAAACTTCATGGCAGCTGATGCTGCGAGCAGCATAAACCACTGACCCCTCTTCAGGGAGAGCCACAGTGACTGTGCTGCTCGCAGTGAAGTCAGCTGTGCACCTCTCAGGAACTGAGATTAGCATCTCTGTTCCCAGCAGGTCTCTGATTCACCTGGCAGCACAGTGCAATCAGAAGAAGGTGTCACAAAGCAGAGGTGCATCATGCCCCAGATCACCTCCCCTAAGCTGCGATACAGGGTTTGCAGAAGTGGCTGGAGAAAAAGGCTTAAATGGAGCCAGGGGGATTGCAGAAAATAAAGCCCCAGTGTTTTTAAGAGGCTCTGTCTCTGCCTTGATGTTTCTGTGCACGGCTGACCCTGAAGACCGGGGGAATTGAGCACAAGCAGACCTGCAACAGTGGCTCCTGTCACACGTGCCCTCCTGGCGGCTCCGTTCAGCTCCAGCTCCAGACACGACACAGCAGGCGTGAGTTGTTTAAGAGAAATCCTCTCCTACTGGAGCTGGAAAATAAATGCCAGTTTAATTCATCTGGCACTTGTGTACATACTGCTAATGCTTGCTCTGGAAAGCATTTCACTACAATAGCAGGCGTGTAATCTGTTTTCTGCACTCTGAACTCAGATTATATTTTAACCATCGAGGCCTGATCCGGAGTCTGGTGAAGTCAGCAAGTGTCCTTCCTTTGCTTCTCAGGATTTTAGGGCACACTGCCTGACGCTGATCTCAGAGCCCAGGTGTAAATGCAGAGTAATGGTATAAAATGGTGTAAAAACCCCCTTGCAATCAGAGGTTATCCAACTTCATACCAATGCAACAGAGAGCTGAATTTGGCACAGATCCATTAGCTTTGGATGTCTCAGTGTGTAACTCTGCTCCTTGTCAGCTCTGATTAGACACACAGGCTCACTGGAGGCTCCCCTTGCAATGGGGGTGCTGCTAATGATGCCACAAATCCATTTTTATGTAATTTATTTATACAGTCTCAGGCACTGGGTACTAAATGTCATCAGGAAACAGCTATAAATTAAAAGTGCTATGAAATCCAATATAGATATTAACAAAAAAAATAAAACTCCTACTCATTTTTCTGGGGCTTTAAAAACAAGATCAAGAGGACTGAACATCACCCCAAAACACAGGCAGTCATGGAAAGAAAAATAACCCAAATGGCAGTTTTTAGACTCCCTCCAGAGATGGTGGGTTTAGAAATGATGTAACTGCCCGTCAGCTGCTGCATATTGCACTTGGGGAAATTACACCCTCACATCCCTGCATTTCCCTCTTCCCACTGCTGGCTGGGAGGAATCTGGGCTGGGAGAAGGGCCTGATGATGTGACTCATTGCTTCATGCACTGATCTTTGTTTCCTGCTTTCTCAGGGAAATCACATAGGGATGAATGAGCCCTCTTCTATATGGATATAAGGTGATCTGTTATAGGATGAGCTTTGTCCCTGTTTGGGATAATTTGGAGTTGGGGTAGTCTTTTGAAAAGTTTTCTAGAAGTTTGCACTAAGCTTAGGAAGAAAATGATGCTAAGAATTACCTGTTCCAAAGACAGCTGGAGGA